TTACTCATATGATTGAATCAATGAAAAATGAAGAAGAGAATAATTTCTCATGCAAAATAATTTCAAATCATTTAAGTAGATATTCTACCCTGACGTAGGAGCATAATTCCCTGCTGATAGTATTTGGCCTGCTGATAGTGACTTCCTTCCCAAGGAGTAGAGCAATATGGAAAGAGGGAAAAAAGAGTAACTTTGTAGTGGAGAAGTCTGACAAAAACTACCTCAGCCAGGTAGTTGATTGAAGTCAACGTTAACAGTGATAAATGATGTTGATAGTGTATTTCCCTGATAGGTGACTTTGAGGAACTCACTAAATTTGTCACGGCCTTGAAGTGTAAGGAGATCTACTGTGAAAGTCTTCAACTGTTAAGTATAATATATGCAAAATGCCTCCCACAACATTTTAGGCCCGTAATAGGTACTGAAAAATAGTATTCGTATTTGAGAATCAAATGTTTGAGAATTGTGATGTTAAAAACAAAACTATTTTATTTTAAAAACTATTTAAAAAACTATTTTAAAAACTATTGACTGAGGTTGCCAGTGATTTTATTTTTGAAATGTGAACAGTATCATTTTGCTATAGCTGCATCTATTGTTAGCACAACTTCGTATTACTTGTTTTCTTAGGCTTGAGTTGCCTCAGTATTTCCTCAAAAAATACTATGCAAAAAAAAAAAAAAGCACAGACTGGGCTATTTGAAGCTCGACTGAGATTTCTGTTTACGGCTGCTTATAGCTTACTGTCACTAAAGCTCTAACAAAGAATCAGGATATCCTGCTGTTGAGTGTTCTTACAACAGGTCTTCTCTGCTGGCTGTACATTATTTCAATACCGATTCACTGGCTTTGATATTGGGTCTTGTTAATGAATGTGTAGTACTATGTAATGTTCAGAAGAGGTGGAAGTTGACACTGACAATATCATATTACAAAGAAACTTGCGTGAAAAAAATGGCTCAAAAAACCAAAAGACTAAAATGTAACAACTGTTTGATATGTGTGATTTGCCTGAAAGGTTGCTACATTTTTCCAGTTTTTCAAAAAGAACTGTAGTTAATTTGTGACAACCTGAATATGTAGGAGAGCTTTTTTGGTCTGTTTTAAAACCAAAAGATATAGGGGCGCCTAGGTGGCTTAGTTGGTTAAGCGTCCGACTTTCGCTTAGGTCATGATCTCATGGTTCGTGGGTTCGAGCCCTGTGTTGGGCTCTGTGCTGACTGCCAGCTCAGAGCCTGGAGCCTGTTTCAGAGTCTGTGATTCCCTCGCTCTCTGACCCTCCCCTGCTCACGCTGTCTCTCTCCTAGAAATAAATAAAACATTAAAAAAAAATTTAAAACCAAAAGATATATAGACTAGGTATACCAAATTGTTGCTTGGGGGTTTAGAAATCATTGGTAGTGGCCTGTTGAAAAGCATCACACACTTGATTTTAGCCTCTTAACCTCTTTTGTCATCCTTTCCTGTGTTAATGGACAGATTGGACATTGCTGTTGGGGAATCAAATCTTCTGCAATAACAGCCACGTAAATATCCTTATCATGTGTTTCTTAAGACAGATTGTTTTGTTTTGAATTTCTGATTGATAGCCAAAAGACCCTACGTCTCAGATCAGTTGGTCCCAGGTTTCCTCTGTAACCACTGATATGATGTTTTTAAGATTACATGGAATGCAAATGTAATCTGTACCAAATTAGGTGCTTATTTTAAGCTAGCTGATTCTGTAAACATTCTCTTTCCCAACTATATAGCTCAATTTCCATAACTCACTGAAATGGCATACCTTAATCAGTTTTTGCTTCCCTTGCTAGCAAATTAATTTTAACTCATGCCCAAGATAAATGTAAGGTTTGTTTTAAATATATTTTATCTTTATATCCCTTGTCTCATTACCATTGTTAAAAATATTAGCAATGAGCTAGGTGAAGGAAAAGGCATAGCTCACAATTATGTCATAAACTTTTCTCTAGCATTCTAGTGACAATAAGTTATTTCCCCATAATTACAAGATAAGAACACATAATGGCCAATTTTTAAAAATTAACTTTTCAACACCAGAGATTTTGTTTTACATCAGAGGCACCTGGGTGGCTCAGTCTGTTAAGCATTCCGCTCTTGATTTCAGCTCAGGTCACGAGCTCATGATTCGTGGGATCTAGCCCCACGTTGGGCTCTGTGCTGACAGCGCAGGGCCTGCTTGGGATTCTCTCCCCCCCCCCCCCATATCTACCCCTCCCCTGCTGCTTGTATGTTCTCTCTCTCTCAAAATAAATAAACAAAAAAAAGAAATAAATTAAAAAAAATTCTTTAATGTTTTATTTATTTCTGAGAGAGAGAGCGTGAGCAGGGGAGGGTCAGAGAGAGAGGGAGACACATAATCCAAAGCAGGCTCCAGGCTCTGAGCTGGCCGTCAGCACAGAGCCCGACATGGGGCTCGAACCCACGAAGTGTGAGATCATGACCTGAGCCGAAGCTGGATGCTTAACCGACTGAGCCACCCAGGCGCCCCAAAAGAAATCAATTTTAATTAGGCTTTTTCCTTTTGAGGTCTTTTAGGAAATGATTTACCCATCCATTGAAGAAATTTTTATCGAGTGTCTACTATGCGCCATGCAAGATTCTTAGTATTCTAGGTGCTGAGGAAACATCAATGAACAAAACAAAAAAATCCCTGAACTTGTGGAGTTTATGTCCTAATGGAGGGAAGGCAGACAATAAGAAAAACAGTAAGTGTAAGAGTTATAAACTGAAGCAAGGTGGGGGGGGGGAGGGGGGAGGGAGGATGGAGAAAGGCAACATTTTAAATGGGATGGTCAGAGTAGGTTTCTTTAAAAAGATGATATTTGAGCAAAGGTGGGACAGAAGAGAGGGATCTAGCCATGCAAGCAATTGGTGGAAAGATCCATCTAGATAAATAGTGCAAAGGCCCCAATTCAAGAACATGAGTTGCTGTTATAGGAGCAGGAAAGCTGGGACAAAGTGATTAGTAGAAATGAGGTCAGAGAGGTGGATGTGAGGAGAGACTTGCAAGGCTAGCTAGCATAAGGTTTTTTTTAGGTCACAGAAAGGGCTCTGGCTGAGCAAACTGGGAGCTAATGATTTTGGCTTTCTCCTAGGTCTACAGATAAACTTGTAAATGTTAAAAGCATGACCATGTCGTATTAAGGGTTGGTATAAAACTCAAGTAGTCTATACTTACTTTATCACCTTGAAAATAAGTGAAAATGTATTGCTTCTGCAATGGGAAAGTATGTGCAAAAAGTTAAATACTTAGGCTAGCTACCTAAATAACAGTTGTAATTCACCAGTTGGTATCTTAAATATTAATGAGTCTCCTTCTCTGTTTTCTTATTTACAGATTGGAATATCTTTTTCCAGCTTCCTTATCTCTAGTATCTTTTAGTTGCCCTTAATATCTTAGTCCAGATAGTATTTTCCAATCTTACTTCCTAGTCATCGCTTAATCTGTCAATACTAGTAACACACTTTATTGTGTTGCAGAGGTCAGAATTCTGCTGGCCCAGTAATACGGAAATTATATATCAGATGTAAATAAAAACAAAAACTACTTTGCCTCAATTTAGTTGAGGCAAATTTAGTTGAATTCGGCAAAATGAGGATTCTTCTTGAATATCTGCCTGGCTACCTAAATAAGCGGTTTTGTTTCCTTGGTGAGAACACAATAGAATAGAGATAACACAAGTTTGTAATGTCTTCACTTAGTATTTTTAGACTATAATAGCAGTAAGCAAATTTCATTTTATAGAATAGTCCCGTTGTTAAGGAAACGAGTCGCTATTGGGGAAGGGGATTCCAGGACAGGGGAATGAACTACTGGCGTTACTTTTCCCAAATACTTTTGCATCCCTTGTTTAAAAAAAAAAAAAAAAAAAGAGAGAGAGAGAGAGAGAGAGAGAGAGAGAGATGGAAGGGTTCTGCATATCAAATCTGAAAATGTTCAATTTCCTTCTAAACTAGTTTCTAACACACAACAGAACAATACACTTTGACAGCAGGTTCAAGGTAAACTACTTTCGTTAAAATTCGGGTAGAAGGGGCTGCCTCTAACTCCACATATTGTAACTTTATCTAGTGGTAGATTCAGAATTGTGTCAGTCTCAGGGGCTTCTGAGAATGCACACTGAGTGCCAGAGTTTAGTCTCATTTTAACTTGGCATTATTTACAATGACACTGTAATCTGCTCACAGTGATACACACATTGTATCAAGAAGCCAGTAGAGCTGTAAAGATGACAGCTAAAAAGCAAAGGTGGCTTTAATTTTTTTTTTTTTAAGAGTCTCTTAGAAAAAGCAAAACTAAGCTCTCATAATGATTTAGGTGCTGGCCAATCACTTGATCAGCGACCGTCCCAACTGCTAAGATCGTGGGTAAAGCTGATACGTCTGTATCAATTCTACAACCTGTCGCACACCCCAAAAGAGGGCTCGCTGACAATTGGTTAAGAACAAAGGAAAGTTTCTGTCAAAGTTCAGGAAGAGAGGGACTGCGTGAGGGGCAGTTTCAGATCATATTTAACCCCACACCATAGAGGCAACCGAACCTCCGCGTGCTCTTCGGTCGCCGCTGTGCAAGGAAATGCGAGAGGGAAGTCTGTCTACGGGACATCTGCCTCCTGGTTCCCGAGATGCGCGAGGTCCGCAGCGCCATCAGTCGAAGGTTCGGCATCTGCCGGTCTCGCTCCACCCTAGGGCCGGCCTACGGCGGCGAGCGGCGGAGGACGACCGAATCCGGCGGGCTAGCGCGCCAGGTCCCGGCGTGGCCCCACGCTGCGCCCCGTCTCCACTCCCGGCAATCGCAAGTTGCCCTGGGAACCCAGCTTTGGAGGCCTCACCGCCGTGGCCGAGTGGGCCGCGAGGCGCCCGCCTCCACTTCCCCACGCGCCGGCGCCATGGAGACGGTCACGAGTCGCCAGCGGCTCCTGCACCCACCAATGGGAGCGCACGTCGCAGAGAGACGCGGACGTCGCTCTTCCAAGATGGCGGCGCGTCCGTCGCGAGCAGCCGGGCCGGGGGGAAGCCAGCGAAGCCGAGTAAAGCCGCCGCCCGGGAGAGGACTGAAGGAGCTGTTTCGGCCGTTGGCGGCGGCTCGAGCAGTTTTCGCTGCTGCTACGGCTGTTGCCATGCGGCGAGGCTAGGGAGGAGCTCACTTCCCCGGGGTGTAATAATGTTAACAGAGGTAAGCGGCGACGGCGGCCAGTGTTTACCTGTGAAATGGGGAAGGGGCCGGCGCCAGCTCTTCCGAGGACATCATTTCTCCCGACCGCGGTCCCGATCCTCCGTAGCGGGCCCCGGGGCCCGAAGAGCAACGGGGATCCCACAAGTGCCCCCTGAATAGGAGCTGTGCTGACTCAACAGAGTCCCACCACCTCCGGCTGCTGTGCCTCTTCTTTCGTAGTTACCACTTGCCCGTCGCCCGTGGCACTGGTCACCCTCCTGCTGTCGATACCTCCTAACTCATCGCTTCTTTCGTGGTGTCCCCTTACACGGTGCTCTGTGGCAGCGTCGGTCTCTCTGCGTTGGTGCTGCTTTTCCCCTACGGTTTGCCCGAGATCTCCCTTCTCCGGTCCCTGGCCTCCAGGGCCCTCCACCCCCAAGCTCGGTCAGCATCCTGGGTTTGTCACTCGGCCAGACCTCTTTTTCCCACCCCCTACTTTGACTACTTCTTGAAGTGGACCTTTTTTCTCAAGCTACACTTGGATAGCCCAGTTTAGATCACCTCCCCCTCTAATCCCCACCCCTTGTCACCTTTTTAAATCGTAGGACTCAGAAAGTTCAGTTTAGCATCTACACTCTTGATTTGCTTAAAGGCTCCCTTGATAGTCTCTGTGGAACAGTTGTTCCCCCCCCCCTCCCCCACTAGGACCTGAAATGGAAGTAGGGCAAGTATGACTAGCCAATCATTTTCCCTTTTCTAGTGCTTGATACCCATTGCAAACAGCAGACTTTTTGAGAAGTAGAGTTCTTTACTAGCAATACTTTAAGGGGAAGAATTAAATTGGTCTCATCAGATACTTGACCCCAGTTAAAACAGATGTAGTGCTATGTGGTGGTGTGGGCGTCATTGAAGGTAAATTGTGCAGCTTGTGGATTTGAGGAAATATCTTAGAAGCTGCTGGCTTGAAGTCCTGTGAAGGTTCTGAGGTCAGCTGTCAGGGACTAGTTTGGGCATCTTTGTGGGCTGAACTAAGGATAGGAAACAGTTTTAATGAGCAGTATTCCTTCCTCCCTGCACCAAAAGGAAATAAAAACGCTTGTAGATGAGTGGCTTTTGTGGCGTGAAAATGTGATGAAAAAGGATTTACTTGCCTTTCCCATTTGATTAACTCTGAGGAAGTTCACACTTGGTATTTGCACTTAATGTATGCACAGAACCTGGAATATGATTTATCTGGTAAATATTTTACTGGTTGATTTTAATTAATGAACTACTTATTTCTGACAGTTTGTAGTTCACTTTATATTTTTAAATTCCACATTATTTTTCATCCTGGAGTTTGTTTTATTCCCAGAGATGATGGTGTAAGTTTCTGTTATCATTAGCAGTATTAGGTTTAAAGGAAAAAAAAGAGAGAACCAAGTAGCAGTTCTATTTTTACCTTCACTGTGATATTTTAGTGAGAATAATTAGCCTTCTAACAAGGATTCAGTGGTGTCTCTAATGTACGATATTTTATGACATGATCTTTTGATGACACTTGGCTTAGGTTAGCTTGTTGTAAAGAGTTGTAATGATGTCACATGAGCTCACTGCTAGTAAAATGCTAGTGTCTTGATGAGGAAGGACTGTGCCTTCTAAGTTTCTTTGCTGAAAAATGATTTTGTGTTTCAGTGAAATATTTTAAGCAGTAAATCATTGATGCTAGTAAGAAGTACTGTAGTGCCGGGGCACCTGGGTGCTCAGTTGGTTGTGTCCAACTGTGTCAGGTCATTATTTCACCGTTCTTGGGTTTGAGCCCAGCTTTGGGCTCTGTGCTGACAGCTTGGAGCCTGAAGCCTGCTTCAGGTTCTGTGTCTCCCTCTCTTTCTGTTCTTCCTCCACTCGTGCTCAGTCACTAGTTCAAAAATAAGTAAACGTTAAAAATTTTTTTTAAATTATTTAAAAAAAAGATGTACTCTAGCGGTTTCTGTGTGTACCATTGGCAGTATCTGCTGAGTCCTTTCTGTTAACTACTACATGGGATTGCCTCTCCATAGGAAGGCCCAGATTAAATGCCACTTGGATTTTATCTTTGGTTTTCAGTACTCATTTTATATTAGAAAACTGAAGCCCAGAGACTTGTCCAAGGTCAAAGTTATTAGTTGCAAGTAATTTTCAGCTCTCTTGATAGATTTTATAATACATATTTCTTGTCTGAATATTGTCAGTAAGTAAACTGAGAATTATCGTTACTTAAGAAAGACTTTTTGCTTTACTTTAGCTTTTCTTAAGGCTCAGAAATAGTCTTATTTTGAAATATATTAGATATAAAATTGTGCTGCATATTGGTTACTAAAAACTTAGGAATGTACGATTACATTTTACTGTTTCTCTTAGTTTTAACCCAGGTCAGGAGGTATTAGGGGAGGTGATTTAATTCATGTTAGATATCAAAATACATAATTATGAGCTGTGTCACAGAAGATTCTCTTGTTCAGCAAGTGTATACTGTGCTTAGAAAGTGGTGAGTGGTACTATCTGCTTGGTTCTTCTATATCTCAGCATTGAGGTAGGAGACACTATTCTCATTAGCCAGGTGAGAAGACGGAGACTGAGTTAAAATAGTTTGCTTAAAATTATATAACAAATGGTAGAGCACTTAGGTCCTCCTATTCCAAATTGTGTGCTGTTTTTGTGGCTCAGTCTGGAATGCGCCATTGATGTTCTTTTGTAGTTGATAATCATCAGTATACTATTTTTAGATTTAGTGTTTTTGGTTTTTGTTTGTTTTTGAACCAGAGTGGGGATGCCAAGTATATAGATACATAATAGTAGTGATAAACATTCATTTGAAACTTTTCGGTTTTACATTTTGTCAAAATAGATCTTTGAAACCTTTTCAGAAATGAGAAAACATTCATGTGATCAATTAAGGGCCATACGAAGCTACAAGGAAAAATTACTCAATATGTACATTGAACTTTGAAACCTGCGATATGATAGATCGGTGTGATTTGAAAGTAGAGCCCCAGTAGGTCTTCCTGCCCCCTCCCCCCCACTTTTTTTTAAAGAGGAGTTAGCATAGTTTCTGATTTAAACCTTTTGACTTCAATTTGTATTATTTTCATTCAGTTGAAATATTTAGAACACTTGCGAGACATATCTGTGCGTCTTTTGCATTTTCCATATAGAGATGACAGGTTTGTTTGTTTTAAATGTTTAGTTAAAATTTTTCCCCTTCTACTGTCTTTGCCCATTAGGACTTGTTTTTCTTAATTTTGCTCTTATTTGTCACAGTATACTTGAAAACTATTTCGTACCCGCTCATCCTCAACCCTTCTCTTTTAAAAATAAGTGTAAGTTTCCATATATCATAATTAGGGTATGGGATGTTTACTTAAGGATTTGTGGAAATTAATCTGAGTTTTCATACCATTAGAATATAATGAAATATTTGTCAGTGAATTTTCATTAAACACCTTTTAAAACTTTTTTTCAAAAGCTATTAAGGTTATTATCCTGAGCATTTATTATTAAGAGAGAACAAAAGCTATAGTAGATGTAGGAAAATATGTTGAATTTGAACCAGAGCTATGGTATATTCAAAGTTTTGCCTAAAACCCAGTAATGATCAGTCAGGCTGTTGACATTTGTCTTGTGCTTCTAAAAATACAGAGTAAAAAGTTGTAGCTGTTTAAACTTAATAGCTTGAGCTGTGCTCAAATGTAAGGCATTAGTAAATGTTAAATAAAAAAGGTTTATGTTTGTATTAATTCACTGCCACCCAGATTTATTGGTTTTTACATATTAATATAAATCGTTGATTTTGTGGTTAACAAATAAGATACAGATGAGAAAAGGTGTACTCTGTAGTACTTTTAAAAGTTCCAGGTTAATAGTTGTTAATGGAATAAAATTTTGTGTTTCAAATACATTTTGAAGATGTTTGAACAAAGGAAGTTAATTGCTTTGTTCTTTCAGGATTTCTCATAGCTTTTGATAGGTGATTTGCTTTCAAAGAAGGTGGTAGAATTTGCATTATATGGCAACGTTGTGTAACCATGTGATGGGTAATTTTATTTGTCAGTTTGATAGGCCACTGGAGTGCCCAGATTAAACATTATTCCTGGGTGTGTCTGTTAGGGTGTACCTGGATGAGGATGAGATTAGCATTTGATTCAGTGGTCTCTTTAAAATGGATTGCTCCCATTGTGGATGCTCACTATCTAAACCGTCTAATCCTTTGAGGGCTGGAATAGGAATTTGCCTCCCTCGCCTTTACTGTTTGAGCAGGGGCATCACATCTCATTTCATCTTTTCCTCGTGGGCTGGGATTTAAATTATCAGCTCTCTGGTTCTTAGGCATTTGGACTGAATTACCACTAGTTTTCCCAGATCTCCAGCTTGCACATGACAGATTGTGAGCCTTCTCAGGCCCTGTCATCATTTGAACCAATTCCTCATAATCTCCTTTAAAAAATATCTGTATCTCCTATTGGTTCAGTTTCTTTGGAGAACTCTGACTTAGCAGAGACTTAGAGAGTTTCTTATATGGGAAATCCTGGGATGTGATTGGCTGTACAGCAAGGAAAGGTCTTTGGACTTTGAGGGCTCTTTTTAAAGACACACACACACACACACACACACACACACACACACTCTTGCCCGTCATAAATGTTTAGTAAAAAATTATGACTTGATTTTGTTAAGAGAAATATTCTTGGGATGGGTTAATCTTTAAACAACATGAGCAATTTTTAAAATGATTAATAACTGCTTGGGTAAAGGCTTCTAACCAGAACAAGAACCATAGCTCCATTGGCATTTAAAGGAAGTTAAGAAGTAAGGAGATTTTATAATCTGCCTAGAATGAGACTGGCTTAAAACTGTATATACAGTATTGTTTACCATGTTTTAATAAGCCAAATTGAATATTGACAGTCATTTCTCAAGAATTTTAAAGGGGTGGGGCGCCTGGTTGGCTCACTAGAGTAGAGTGTGTGACTCTTGATCTCTGTGTTGTAAGTTTGATCCCCATGTTGGATGTAGAGATTACCTAAAAATAAAATCTTTAAAAAAATTTTTTTTTAAATTTTAATGTTTGTTCTTGAGAAAGAGTGTGTGTGAGTGAGCGCTGGAGGGGCAGAGAGAGAGAGAGAGAGAGAGAGAGAAAGAATCTGAAGCAAGCTCCAGGCTCCAAGCTGTCAGCATAGAGCTGACATGGGCTTGAACTCATCAGCCAGGAGATCATGACCTGAGCTAAAGTCAGGCACTTAACTGCCTGAGCAACCCTGGTGCCCCCCACCCCCCAATGAAATTTAAAAGGCCTTTGTTTTATTTTTTCTTTTGGTTCTAGATTATCAGAGCTTATAAATAAATCACATTCATAATAACTTTCATTATGCTTTATTAATCCAGTACAACTAAGACTCTTGTTCATCACTCCTGATTAGTAGCTACCTAGTTGATAGAATTGCAGGCAAAAGGAAATCTATGTGACATTTTAGTTAAGCCCTATAACTTCATATTAAATATACCTTTCATTTGGTATTTAGAAATACTAAAATAGCGGCTTTAGGTTTTCATGACTATCCTTGGAGTTCCTCTATGGGGAGATATCAGTGCATATGACTCTTGTTTGGATGGATTTTTCCAAAGTTTGTTGACCAGTTTTCCATAGACATTGATAAAAGATATTTTCTGGGGAAATGGTGGGGGAAAGGGAGAGGGGGAAAGGGAGAGAGGCAAACCATGAGAGACTCTTGAATGCTGACAAAAACTGAGGACTGATGGATGTGGGGGGGAGGGGGGGATGGGCATGGAGGAGGGCACTTGTGGGGATGAGCACTGGGTGTTATGTGGAAACTAATTTGACAATAAACTATTTGAAAAAAAAAAAAAAAAAAAAAAAATCTACAATGGCCGGGACACCTGGGTGGCTCAGTCAGTTAAGTGTCTGACTCTTGATATCGCCTCAGGTTACAATCTAATGGCTAAAAAAAAAAAAAAAAAAAAAAAAAAAAAAAAAAAAAAAATTTCTTAACTAGTCTATGGTATGTTTATGATTAAAGTAATACAGTAATTGCTACACATTTATAAAATTACTTTATTTGAGGAAATATGGAATTAAATTTGGGAGAACTGAGAAATAAGTAGAAATGTTTGTACTTTTAAAGATTACAGGTATTGGTTGTATGTCATATGGTCCCTATAAAATGTATTGGCTTTTCATCTGTTCATATATTAACTACCAGTATATATGTAGCCTTTTGCAGATTATATAGGGTGCTTTATGTATTAAACTAGTTATGTTAAATGTACTCATGCTTACTTATGTTTTGTTTCATTTCTAGCTGTGGAATGAAGAGAAATCTCTTAAAGGGAGAAGAAAAAGGGTATGAGAGGATCTTTGCTTCAGGTGGAATCAAGCCCTGTTAGCTGAATTATAATGGAAAAGGAGAGAGCATCAACTTTTGGAAGAGGGAGAAAATAGGTTCTATCATGGGGAAGAGTGTTCAGTGCTGGTCACTCACTAGCTAGCCATTTGGTGGCGAAACTAAGTGACTTTATGACATTCCCTGAGTGACTTTTTAAGTGTGTTTTGAAATTTTGTGGTTTCACAGACCATTAAGTACTCTCTCTATTGATGGTAATCTAAAATTGGCTTCTATTTCTCAGATTTAATTTTCATATTACAATACTTTATTATTATTTTTAAAATGTTAATTTGTTTTGAGAGAGAGAATGAGAGAGAGAGAGAGGAAGGAAGCTTGCGAGCAGGGGAGGAGCAGAGAGAGGGAGAGAGAATCCCAAGCAGGTTCCTGCTCTGAGTGGAGTCCTACATGGAGCTTGATCACTGTGAGGTTATGACTGGAGCCGGGGGACACTTAACTGACTGAGCCACCCAGGTTTCCTGTTACTACAGCACTTTAAATATCTGAGAGGAGAGGGAACTTTGAATTAAATCAAGTGGACAGCTTTTAAACTATTTTAACCTCTTTAATATTGAGTGACTAAATAGGCTGGACTCCCGTTAATGCATCCTCACGTCGGTCAACAAATTAACACTTATCACAGAAGTGAGACAACATACAAATAACCTTAATATGAGTTCCAACTTCACTTATTTATGATGTGAAATTGGGGAAGTTGTTTGAAATTTTTGAGTCTTAGTTTCCTTATTTATAAAATTGGATAATAGCATCTTTCTAGCTGCTCTCACATTGTTGTGAAGATCAGATAAAATGAGAGTACAGAGAATATAACTCTTTGTAAATTGCCAATCATTATACAAATATTAGTGGTTAATACACCAGGTGTTTTCTCTATGAATTCCAGTCCTAGGGTCCGTCCATTCAGGCTATGGCTCACTAGCTGCTCAGTGGGTAGATGAATGGATCTATTGAGAAAGAGGGTGCCCCCTGGCCATTGGTGTAGTTACATGGGAGTCAAGGAATAGATTAGAAGTGAAAGGAAAAAAAAATGTAGACTAAGAGCATGTCTTGCAAACTAGTAATGAGATTAGTTTAGCTTGCAGTTGGTAAACTGATTAAGAATTTTTGAAACAAATTATTTTTTAATTTTTTTATGTTTTTAATGTTTCCTTATTTAAAAAAAAATTTTTTTTAATTTATTTCTGAGAGAGAGAGACTGCGTGAGCAGGGGAGGGTCAGAGAGAGAGGGAGACACAGAATCTGAAGCAGCTCCAGGCTCCGAACTGTCAGCACAGAGCCCAACGCGGGGCTCGAACCCACAAACTGTGAGATCATGACCTGTGCTGAAGTCGGAAGTTCAACTGACTGAGCCACCCAGGTGCCCCAATGTTTGCTTATTTTTAAAGGAGAGAAAGAACATGAGTGGGGAGGGAGACACAGAATCTTTAGCAGGCTTCAGGCTCTGAACTGTCAGCACAGAGCCCGATATGAGGTTCGAACTCCTGAAGAGCCATGAGATCATGACCTGAGCTGAAGCCGGACGTTTAACCATGAGCCACCCAGGCGCCCCTGAAACAGAAATTCTTAGAAATATTTTGAAAAAGTTTACTTACTTGAAGTTTAGTTGTCATTTGTACATATTCTTAAATATTTGTGGGAAAAGAAATCTTTTAATCAATTCTGGTCACTTCTTGAAAGGAGGGAGAAGCTGTTAGGATAATTTTCATTAAGCTTTGGTCATAACTTGTACTGGAGATTCATTTTTGTGGGTTAATTTGTTCACCAAACACAAATACACCTGCTGTATGGCAGGCACGTGAGAAGTTCTGATGCGGAAGTGGTGAGTCAGATCTGAAACCTGCACTGAGAAAATTTACTATCAGAGCTAAATTGTGCCAGTTGGGCAATCATTCAGCTGAAGCCTTTAAGGCTTTTGTCAAAACAAAACAGGTAACATAATTAAAGGATGGAAAATTAAGGGAAATAGAAGGGAAATAAAAGGTTGGAATATGTAATTAAAAGATAATTACCTGCATTAGCTTTATAACTCCAGGTAAAACTACCAGTTTGGATGAGATGGCAGCTCTAAAATGAGTGTCTCCTTGCAATTGAAGTTTCAGCCATCTTGCCGGTCTATATTTGCTATATTTTTATCCGAGCTAATTCATGTTAAAAAAAAAAAATGAGAACAGAGAAGCAAAAAATAGAAAGAAAGCAAGCTCAGGTCATGATCTCACCGTTTGTGGGTTCGAGCCCTGCGTCAAGCTCTGTGCTGACAGCCTAGAGCCTGGAGCCTGCTTCGGATTCTGTGTCTCCCTCTCTCTCTGACCCTCCCCTGCTCACTCTCTGTCTCAGAAATAAATAAAACATTAAAAAAAATTTAAAAAGACTCTAAATTTCCTTAAGCGGTCTCCTGTAGTTTACTGAAGGATCCAGCTGAACTCCATTACCTTGGTGAAAGTAACACTTGGTCTTTACCCCCATACATTATATATTCATTTTTCTAAAATCTTTTTTTGTTTTTATTCCCCACGAGAATGTAAACTGAAGATGTGGCTCACAGTTGTGTTCCCAGTGCCTAGAACAGGGCTTGATACTTAGTGTCCTCACTAAATATCTGGTAAATGAATAAATGTTAAATATTTCCTTTAGTAAGATTAAGGTAAAAGTGAAAAATAAGACAAAAGCTGTCTATCATAAATTTAAGCTGTCACATTAATTGCCCTTCAAGGATTGGTTACTATCAGTGTCTATTAGACATTTTTCAGTAGGACATTGTGGTTGAATATTGTGTTTGGGATCACAAAACAACAACAACAAAATAGAAAAAGTTGAACACCAGGCTTTTTTGTTAGAATGTAATTCTGTCTTGATTTTTCCAACAGGTAAAAATCTTATTGGATTGATCTTATTTTCGTATGACCAGTTACAAATGCAGGGACAACTTAGAATTTTATCTTGTATCTTTTTAATACTTGAATTTTTTTTTTTTAAGTTGGCTCCACACCTAGAATGGAGCCCAAAGCAGGGCTTGAACTCCCAACCCTGATGAGATCAAGACCTGAGCTGAGATTAAGAGTTGGACACTTAACCATCTGAACCACCCAGGCACCCCATTACTTGATTTTTATTATGATTTTATGTGTACTACTTAAAATTTGTATTCTTGAACTAGATAAACTTAAAGCTTTGTTTCTAATAGTACACTAGTGCTAATTTTTGTGTTTTGTTACTGTTTCACAGTTTGTACTACCTCTAATGCTATCTTGAAAGTTTGCAAGTATGAGTAAAATTTTGGGCATGGATTTTAAAAAGTTGGAAATTTTGGGCGGGTATATCTTTAAGGAGGTCAGCTGTTACTTTAATCTCTTGACTAAAATTCCTCTGAGTGTCACTATTGGAGACAGAACATAGATCATTTCACCCATCTACAATTCCATTGTAAATTCAGAGATCATATGTACCAGAAAAGTTCCCTGAAGTAATTCTTTGTTCAATTTTAATGATCTTTAATCTTTAAGTTAGTATGAGATAGTCCTATATGGCAGCTGGAATTATTTACTGTTGTTGGTTTATTGTACTGCTTTCTCCAATTTCCCGAGGAACATTTTTATTCTGATGCATCTGTGAAACCCCCAAGGTGAATCCTGCTTTTGCTTTTGACCTTAGTTCTGCCTTATTGGAGAGTCCTTATAAGTAGTTTCACTTAAACCTGAATTGGTTTTGCTCTTGGAACCCTGGGACTACTATTAAAGCCTAGCTGTGGTTTGGCGTCTGAGAAGAGTGTATGATTCTTTGTATTGTGACTTTTTTAAAAAAGTTTTTTAATGTTTTATTTTTGAGAGAGAGGGGGTTGGGAACGAGCACGTGTGTGCATGTGCACGCACATGTGCAACGTGGGGAGGGCAGAGAAAGAGGGAGATACAGAATCTGAAGTAGGCTCCAGGCTCTGAGCTGTCTGCACAGAGCCTGACATGGGGCTTGAACCGTGAGATCATGATCTGAGCCAGAGTCGGACATTTAACCGACTGAGCCACCCAGGCGCCCCTGTATTGTTGTGAGACAACATATGTGTGGAGAATGGCTTTTGGATTCACCATCAGTTAAGGCTTAGAAATCATAAAACTGATTGAAGTTGTACAGTGCTAATGGAAGAGTTAAGTACGAAATAAAATTTCATCTCATTTTAGGTATTAACATAAATTTTGGAAAGTAATTGGTCTGATGTTAAGATATGATATTATGTGTTATCTAGTGTTTCTTTGAGTCATAATATTGTACTTTAGATTTGTTCTTGATTTCTCTTCCCGAGTTTATTTGAGATGGTGTATTTTTCTCAGGGAATTTAATCAGACTGCAGCTATTAATATAATCAGCTATTTTTACATCCGAAGTTAATTACTAACATCTCATGCATTTTCTTGAGTAGTACCTAAGTGTTTTAACACTTTAAACCATTGGAATAGTCTAATTCTGGTAAAAGTGAACAGAATAAGAAGAAATGGTCTAAGAGGATGTTGGAGGCAGCTTGAAAAGTGTAACACAGCAAAGAGAGAAAGAAACCAAAATAATATATTTTACAAAGAGGGTGTGTTGATTACATAAAAATTTTAGAAAGATCAATTAGGCTTAAGAGTATTTTATAATTTATTAAAAGTGTGTTTTATGAACCCAAAAAACTCTGCAAGTTAATGTCTGATAACACAGAATATTTAATCAAATAATAGACACTAATGCAAAACTTATAGGACTACCAAAGTTAGTGTGATTATCTTTGTACTGGGTTGCAGTGATAATCATCTTTTTTTCTATATCTATATACCTTTATACACACACATATATGTATCTTCTGATCGCAAATTGAACATTCCTAAGTTTTGAAGTGTGTATGTGGATGGTAAGAGTGATGGCTAGAGTCATATTATTTGGATTTGAATCAAAGTTTTCTCATGTTAAAGCAT